AACAATTCCTGCATCTTGGCAGGGGGTTAGATTAGATGACCCTTGCGGTCCCTTCTAATTCTATGATTCTATGAAGGATAAGTCATACTCCTTCTGTCTCACCCAGAGTGCAAGGCACACTGCCTTCATGTGACTAGTGAAGCATTCTGTACTGTACAGTAAAACTTTCATATTTTTCTTTCTCTCTGAAGAGTGCCCCAAATTCTTATGCCAGAGGTCCCTAAGCACACAAATGAGAATCTCTGTTGAAGACTTGCCTTTGGAGAACAGGCTTTCATAAAGTAATATAAAAAGAAGAACTGGGCAAAAAAACCCAACAACCCAACACAGAACAATGGGACCAACAATCTTCACCTAATGCTCAAATGAAATCGAACAACTTCAGTGGTCCACAAAGTTATTTTAGACCGGATTAATTTCCTATTAGGACCAGAGGAGGAAGTGCCAGAATACTAGAAAGAAGACTATTCTTGTGATATTTCTGGTTGAACAGGAAGCAGGAAATACTAGAAATCTGACAAATAAGCTTGTTCTAAGACCAATTGTTTCAAACCCAATTTTACAGACTCAAGAGGTGAAAATATACAACGCAGGTTTATATGTGAGCCAAACTACCAATGTTTTGAGGTTCACCCATCATTAGTTTAAAAAAGCTACTTAATTTACTGCATATACTCCCAAAATAGGGTTTGATTATTCTTACTATTTATTTGTATATGTCCAACATAAGCTGTGTATAGTCAGAATTAGCTCCAGTTCTTTTTGAATTGTGTAAAACTTTATACAGATCAATTGTTCTCACAAGCCAGGAAAACGAGCAAAGTGCAGAAGAGTATTATATGCAAATATTAAAGATTAATGACTTGTTTCATGATAGACATAAACCAGAAGCTCTCCACAGAAGTTCTTAACCCTAAAATTTATTTTAAATACAATATCTCTGTTTCAGATTCCATTTCTCCCCTGCTACTTTGAAGATACTATTAAAGTCAAAAGCACAAAGAAAGAGGCATTTTACACAGCTTTAGGTGCTAGTATTTTTATCAGTTATAACAAAGGCCAATACAGAATCCTGCCTTAACTAGAAAACAAGATCCTGGTTCTGGGAGATGTTGAGCATCTTCATAGCTGTGCTGATTAGAGCTGTACAGAGAAAAGTAATTCCATTTCACACAGAATTTGGATAATTTGAAATGTGTTTTCATTTCAATTTGACATGAAAACCAAATATTTTGAAAGACTTTGTGAAGTAGAATAAAGCCCTGGTGGCTTCCCTGAAGCTATGAGCCTGGTAGCTAGGGAGCTAGCTCCCACGGCCTACGAGCTCCCAGTTCCCCATTATCCTGCCTGTTGGCTTGAAGGGGAGCCAGAAGCCTGGGAGCCCCAGCTGTGCCAGGGGCAACAGAGCTTTGGAGTTGTGGCTCTCAGGGTTTTTAGGCTCCCTGTCAGCCCACCACACAAGCTACCAAGGACCCGGGAGCCTGGAAACTTGGGTTCCCCAGCAGGTCACCAGATGGGTTGCTAAGGAGCTGGGCAGGTGAGCTGGCAGGAAAGCAGGCAGATTTCTGATGGAGACTAGCCTAGGTTCCATCTAAATGTTGCTGAAATCAAACTGTCTTCACAAAACATTTCTATTTCAATCAATCAGCATTCTCTGATGGGAAAAACGTTCCGTCGGAGAATTTCTGACCAGCTTTAGTGCGGATACCCTTAACTTTCAATGGGGGAGTTGGGAACGCTCAGGATTAGAGACCTACTGATTTTAACTACTTAGCTTAAATTGTATATAATTTATTTATATTCTGTTACTGATTTTGGATGTAAGATGGTGACTTATGTAGAATTTGCATAAAGGCATGTCATTTCACCTTTGATGATCAGTGACCTTGATCCTGCCATAGGAGTAACTAACTGGAGGTGGGAGGTTGGTGGTTGCTGGTTTAAATGTGCTGCAGAGTGTTCCTTTCCAGGCCATTATCTGTCTAGACAGATATGCCACACCAGGGTGATTTATGCTGGTGTGACATGAGAGTGCATCAGGATTACACTGAGATGCAAACTTAGTGTTATAAATTAGAGTGTCTTTATTGTGGGACAGTTGGAAGCATGAACTATGGACCTAATCCAGTGCCCACTCAAACCAGTGAGAGTCTTTCACTGATTTCAATGGGTGCTGGATCGGACTTATATGAAAGCTAAGAAAAAAAAATCACTTATATAGACAGGAAGAATTGTCCAGTGGTTAAAATGCTACCCTGGGACTTGGGAGGCCTTGGTTCATTTCCCTGCTCCATTGCAGACTTCCTGTATGACCTTGAGCATGTCATTTATTCACTGTGCATCAGTTCCCCATCTGTAAAGTGGGAATAATGGCACTTCCCTATCTCACAGAAGTGTTGTGAGGATAAAAACATTAAAGACTGTTGAATACTAGGGTAAAGGAGTCATATTAGTACCCTAGATAGAGATCAGTCATATGTTAATGAATTAGATTAATATATTTGAAATACCTTGTGCAGTCAATTAATTGTCAGAGCGCAAAACTGGACTGTTTTTGTAGCATTTCAAATATATTAGCTATATAACATAATGCCTCATCTTGGTTCATCATTGGGGATGGAACCCATGAACTTTGTTACCTCTAAGGATGATGGTAGTAGTAGCCTCTTAGCCTGCAAGCGGGCCAGCCACTGGTGGTATAACCACTTACCCAGCATATTACATACGCTCTGGTTAGGATCATCAGACTGAGTGTTTGAAGTCTATTTCTGCTCAAGAGCTACATTCACAAGGAAACTTAGGCCCCATAAAAATATCACTGGGATTCACAAAGCCTGACTTTGGCACTTGTAGGCTCCCAATACAATGAACAGGGAGAGACAGGTGCCTTAGAATGGGATTCACAAAGGCCGGAACACTAGGCATCTTCTCATCTATGATCACCAATGAGAGATGCCAAGCTGAGAGGTAAGTGGTAAGCCCTGCCCCTCTCTCAGAAATAGGTGCCTAAGTCCAGGCTCCCTCTGATGGATCTGGCATAGTCTGACAGTCAGTCTCTCCAGTTGAAGTGTTCCACTGTGGTTAAATAATTTCAACAAGTAATTGGAGCAGGGGGACTGGATCCTCACACTTGCTCTCTCTCTCGGCCAATGTTTAAGCTGCTCCACTGTGGATAAATAATGAAAGAATCGTTGGGTCAGAGAGAGAGAAATTGAGAGAGAGAGTGAGAGCAAGCATGAAAATGACTCTGTTACCTGCTGGTTAGAGCATTCAACTGGGAGGTAAAAGATCCAGGATCCACTCCCTCTGCTCCAATTACTTTTAAAATTATTTACCCACAGTGGAACAACTTCAACAGGAGAGATGGAGAGAGTCCCCTGTCAGACTATCCCATAGCCCAGTGGCTAGGGTGCCCACCATAGAGGTGGCAGATTCCTGTTCAAATCCCTTCTCCTCCTCAGGTGAAGGGGGGAATTGAACCAGGAGTCTACCACATTCCAAGTGAGCACACTAATCTTTGGGTGTTGTGTGAGCTTCTCTGTAGGAGCCCAGTCCAGCAGGTGAGGTCTGAACACACTTACTGGATTGGTCCCCACTGACAAGCTACGTGGAGAAACTCCTGTCTTCTCCCAGTTCATGCATTGCTCTGGGACTTAGGCATCCAGATGCCTGGCATGCCTGGAATGTGCAGAGGCAGAAACATAGGCACTTAGGGAACTCTTAATGCAAAAATTTAGGTGTTAGGAGAGTTTAGGCACCAACAGGATTCAGGGGGAGCTGAGCAGGGGCTTTCTGAATCCCAGTGGGGCCTGATTCTGGGATTTGGGCATCTAAAGTGGCCCTGAAGAGTCTAAATTCTTTTTTGAATATAGCCCCAAGTCTTTATGCCAGTTTTATACCAATGGTATTATATAATTGGTATAAAGACATGGTCATGATCATCCCTAGATTCAATCTAAATTAGTGTCTAGTGCCTCTACCTGAAAATCTCCAAGAAGAAAACAATTACGACTTACAGCAGGGCAATTGCAGAAAATGTAAAACCATGTAGGCTATGGGGTTGAATTTCAACAAATATCAAGAAGCATCCCACAAGGTCACAATTCTATTAGCTAAGGATGTGGAGAACAAAAACGTGGTCAGAGGTTAAACAGTATGTAGAGCAATTGACACAGAAATAGAGAAAAAAAAAAACCCTTAACATAAATTGTAATAAACTTGGGGTATGTTTGTTCAAGTAAACAAAAGTTCCCTCTACGGCCCAAGCACATAGTTGGCACATCAATTATAACAAACAACAATAGCAGTATTTCAGACATTTCAAATGACTGTGCAGAAATATTACAGACCAGATCCTTAGCTGGTCTAAACTGGCAAAATTCCACTGAAGTCAACAGTTACATTAATTCACACCAGCTGAATATCTGACATGCTCTGTCTCTCTTTCTGTGTATGTATGTAACTATATGACTTAAGCATAACCTGAAGGGACCACTCTTAGGGTGAGAAGATAGTTTAATTCCATTGTCATCCACGTCTAGTCCTTTCTGCTGATAATGCTAACAATTAGGGCCAATTATGATGGTAGTCTTTATGATGTTAACACCTGTCCACTAGGAAATGAACTGAGACTCATTGCACTTATTTCATATAGGCCAAACTGCCATCAAATAAATAGTAATGACTTTTGGTCAGGGCAGAATTCAGACCAGTGACCTAGAGTTGAACGTCTCTGTATCTCATTAATAATTCTCTGAACTATCCAATCTCTTACATCTATATATTTTACATCCATATAGATGCATAACATGGAACACATATCATAAATAAATGACTTTATACTCTCAAGTAATATCAAAGAGCGAAGTATTTTTAATATAACTATTTGATTTGATAACATACCAGCATCTTTTTGTTTTACTATGTAATTTATCAACATCATAACTTCAAGAATTGTCTGGCTTATGCCACCTGAAGAATTAGATAATTCAAAAAGGTACCTGGTACATCAGTGAAGGTCTCTCCAAGGACAGACATATGAAAAGGTAGGTCCATCTCTTTAAGTTTCAGCAATACTTTAAAGAAACTCTCAGGGTCTTTATCATGTTCCCTTGAAATAAACAAACAGAATTTACCTTGAATTAGGTTATGTTTATTTGTAGAAAACTTTTTACCTTATCAGAGTAAGGTTTATCGTAACCTCTGTTTTTGGTATTGGGGACCTCAGGCTCAGTCCCCTAAGCACGACTTCCTCCTCTGCTCACTCATCCTGCATGATGACTTACGCCATATGGACTTTTATTTTCCTCAACCTAGGATTCAAGACCACAAATCAGCCTTGTTAGAGTCTTAAGCCTTTTCCCTGGCCCATCTTTCTGAGACCTTGTGTTCACTCTTTAAATTAACAACTTAGATAGCATATAGATTTAAATATTTATTTCACCCAGCTATAAGCATATCTCTGCCACACCAACAGACAACACTGAGAGCACCCTCATTTTTTAGTCAGGGAGCATGTGTATTCAATGTGCAAGTTAATGATAGAAAGATAAGGGAGGGGTCATTTGATTAGTAAAAATCTACAGAATAATATTTTCAATGGTGTCACCCTCTGCGGTGTGGTGGGGAATCACTTCCCCGTCCTCCCCCCAGCTTGCAGCTCCAGGTCCTCGGTTGGTGGACATTTTGATAATACAGTGTCATCAAAAATGGGTCAAATTGGGTATCATTCAAAGCCCTTTCTCCCAAAAAAACACTATGGTACCAAACAATATAAATCTAGAACCATTATGTAGCTATGTATTTGAGAAAAATGTTTAGAATCAGCTTTTTAAAATTATATGTACTTTAAACACAGGCACGACAAACACGCAGACCTCAGAAAGTAAAATTGTAGCCATTGATTATCAGAACATGCTCAGAACATGGTACCTGATTAATTTTTTTAATGTTTCAGATTACTATACATGGATGGAGTGCTTCGAGTTGATTTGCCATTATCAGGAAGAAAGAACTGGTTCAGTGGTATTGATTATCAGCTTTGTTTATAATGCCAAAAGAGTTCTAATGAGGTACTGCTTAAGATGTCTGCATCCAGCCTGAAATTAATGGAATACCTTTGTAAACAGTATGCACATCATTATAACATACATTACATTACATAATTAATACAATCACCGTGATAGGTTGTACTAGGCCCAGAGGCTCCTGCTGGAGGGCACAGGGTCCTACCACATCCCATCCCAGAGAGGAGTAAAAGGCCTAGAGTGGTAGTGAGGAAACAGCCAATGAGGGAAGCTGCAGGGAGCAGCCAATCAGGGCCCAGCAGACTCACATAAAAGGAGTTGTAGGGCCAGAGTCAGTCAGTTTCTGCCTGGAAGTGGAGGAGTGAGGACTGAGTTCCTGGCTGGCTCAAGGAGCAGTAGGACCATGGACAGATCAGTTATTCGCAGGGACTGGGAAAGCACGAAGGGGTTCTTGGCTGGCTGCCTGGACTGAGTAAGGACTGAACCCAGGAAGGGCAGCAGGAAGACAATGTCTCCAGGGATGAAACATTGGGGGTACGGCCCCATACCCGGGCTGGAACTATTTAAAGACTGAACCCAGGGAGGGCTACAGAGATAACAACAGAGGGATACTGGTGGTCTGTATATACCGGAAGGGGTCTGGTTGCTTCACATACAGACTGTGTGTGAGACTCGGCTGGAGGGCTGAGTCATTGAAAACCTGCTTGAGAAACCACCGACAGAAGTCACCACAAACCAAGAGCGCAAGCACACGCACTCAACCAGGGCATGCTTGTGAGAGGTGGGTGCTACCCCATTACCCAATCCAAAGAAATTTATTACAGAATCCTTGTTTTTACTTTGGTCTTGATCATTTTTAGACATTAATGGGGAGCGAAGAATACCAGTTAGTAGCTGAATCTTTGGAGAATACCACCACAGAGGACCTGGTTAAACCTGTGGCTTGGTGACACCTTGCATGCTACATGAACTGCACCCATAGACTGAATTTGGCAAGGTTGCAGAGGAAGTACATTGAGCACCAGGAAAAGTTGAAGATGCCAGGACAAGTGTTAGCTGTGGGAGAGTCTTTGCTCTCTTTATTTGATTTGTCAGGAGTGCTAATTGGAATTTGCATCTGACAGGACTGGAAGACTTTGTGAAATATTTTTTTTGCTTTAGATCTAACCAACTATTCTCCAATGATTGCCTGGTAAATTGCTGAAATAAGAGGTGTACTGAAGTCCGCCCCTGACACATGGGAGGAATTTCAAGAAGGAAATTGGAGTGTTTAAAGGTCGCTAATTCCCTGCTGTGCATTTGGTTCAGATGAAGCTCTAGAGCATGAAAACCCAGCAAAGAAAGTTATTTGGGGGTGGTGGGCATAACACGGAAGCCCAGTTTTTCCTGACAACCCCAGAACCCCATTAAATTTTGAACGAAATATTAAGCACTGCTGGAATGACTTTCCCAGAAGTAATCAAGCACCATCAAGACTCATTAGATTCTGTTAAGTGCCAAGAAGAGGACATTTTTAAAGTGACAGGATGAGCTTACTTGCATTGGCAACACATCTGAGTACAACAGACCAGAGCTCATTAATATCATGACAAAACAGGTTCAAGTGATGAGAGGTGAATGGATACTTTGGTTCATGACTTGTTTGAAGTCTTCAAAACCCAAAGCATTATCCAGAGGTCTGTCAATCTAAGGTCTCCAATCAAGAACAGACTAAAACTGTAAATGAATTAAAAGAAAATCAAAGTGAATATAGCAGGGATTATTACAAATCTAACCACAGACAGGTCACTGTTTGCTCATCTCTTGGTTGTGACCAGATCTCTGCATGATGTTGATCTACGTGAGACTTTGGGAAAGTATAAGTTCTTCGTAGTACAACAATCTGTGTTTGAATACAATGGAACAAGGCATATATGCCAGGTAAAAAGCAAACTAAAGCAAACTAATAAACATCTAGCATGGTCTTCCTAAGCCAGCACCTAGTGACAATGTGAGTCCTTTCAATGTAGCAATCATAGATGGCTGAGATATAAGTTCTCGACAAACCAGAAACTGTTAACTTCTGCTGAGATTTGGCTGATTAATGTCATTATGACGCTACAGAGAATATACTGGATCAATAACATAATTCACCTCATATTTGACATGTATGTAGAGGAATCAATTAAAAATATTACCAGAAAGAAGATACTATCTTATTTCACCTGTCCAATACAAAATCACTGACTCCACAAACATCTTCAATGTCACATTGAAGAAGCTACTGTCTCATACTCAAATGAAGAATTAGTTAATTGCATACTTTGCAGAAAAAACACTCTAGCATGCAAGGAATTGTTCAAAGAATTTCATTGTTGCATTGTGTAACAAAACTGATGCCTTGCACTGTTCTGTGGAGTTTCTTCATAGTTCCCATGAGGAGACTGACAATAAAATTATCTTGCATGCTGTCAATGCCACAAAGAGAGGTGCTACTAAACTCTGGATTTTTGTACAAGATACAGATGTTTTAGTGCTCTCTGTGAGATGCTACCCAAGACTTCTGCAAGATTCTGTTTTTGTGCTTGAGGCTGAAGAACAGAATTGCTGTATATCCTTCAGAGATGTTTTCCTATCACTCAGACTGTTAAAACCACGATACTGCCAGGTTTTCAGACCCTTTCAGGATGTTACACTCCTGAAAGGTTGGCCGGAAAGACCAAATTCACTTACTGGAAGACTTTTGATTTAGCGTCCAAAGACTCTCCTCACTCTGAAGATGCTTGGAATGGCTGAGACCGTCACTGACGAAGTCATAAATGCACTGGATATGTTCATACGCCAAGTTTACCATTTGAATGCAGTTGCAAAGCTACCTTGGTGGATGTTTTCCAAGAAGCAGACAAACAAATTGTTACTGACAAGGTATACATTTCTATCTGCTATCAAGAAGGCAAATGATCAAACAATGGAATGGACCCAGGATGATCCAGTGTATCCAAAACTACCCTCCCCTGTCAGGTCTGGATGGGTGTTGGAGGATGGACGGATCACACTAGTTATGTGTGAAATACCATCCATTCCCGAACCAATCCTTCAGCTAATTAAATGCTTGTGCGCAAAGAGAAGATGCTCACCGGCCTGCAAATGTTTGGCCAGCAGGCTGCCTTGTATGGAGATGTGCAAGTGCAGCATGAGAATCAGTGTGACAACGTATCTAGCAGTGGTGCCCTAGACAGAGACAACTCTGATAACGACTTTGGTGAATAAATGTCCTACATGTCAAGGCAAACTTCCCTAGGATTACCAAAGACCAAAGAGGTTTTTTTTATGTAAACAATGCATCTGCGTTTGAAGTATAATTTAAAAAATGTTGATTTTTAAACATTTCTCTCAAATATATATCTACATAGTTGTTCTAGATTTTTCATGTTTGGTACCATTATGTTTGAGGGAGAAAGGGCTTTTGAATGATACCCAACTTGACCCATTTCTGACGACACTGTATTTTCAAACTTTCCACCAGCTGGAGGACCTGGAGATGGGAGCCAGTGAGTCCCAGTGCCACACCACAGAAGGTGACCCCATTGAAATAATTATTCTGTAGATTTTTATGAATAAAATGACAACTCCCTTACCTTTCTATCACTAGCTTGCCGATAGAATGAGATTTTACTCTATTATGCTCCCAGGATATTTACACTGTCCCTGGCAATGGGCAAACAAATGTTTTTGCAGAAGCAATATGTTAGTCAAATACATTTGCTAAAAAATTCCCAAATGGAATTTTGTGACTAGCTATTTTAAGAATATAAAGCTTATGATTCTTTTAGTGCATTGGATACAGAAGAAAGAACACATCTGATGTGGGGGTCTTTTTGCACCATCAGGCCTTTAAGTAACTAATGTGGGACTCGGGGGGTTAAAGTTACTTTAGTAATGGATAAGAAACATTTATAATTCCATCTGAAGATAACTAAATATTTGGAATCATTTTTTTTCTGCAATCAAGGTCTTAAACACTGGATTGGTTATTTTAAAAGAAGGACTAGCATCTAGCTTTCATCTTCTTTATTATGACAGAATGGGAGGTTAAAAAGACACC